TCCCACCAACAATGAAGTAAGGTTCCTTTCTGTCCACATCCCCTCCAGCATCTGTTGTTATTAGAGTTCTTGATTTTTGCCGTTCTTTCTGAGGTTAGGTGGTATCTCATATTTTGGCTTTTTAAACAAAGATAAATTTTAGAATAAAGCAAAGTCTCCCTTGACCATAAAGAGTGAATTATTGAACTTTGCCTCTTTTGGATCTTAGTTATATCATTTACTAAAGACTTTGCAAGTACTCATAATTCTTTAGAATGAGATATGCTGACACTTAAACAAATTCTGCCTAACAAATACAAACATTAAATGATTTACATATATGTAACGTATATGTAACCATATACATAGTATAGCATAATTGGCAACCTAATTTCTAAAAATTAAGTTGTCTATACTTGGAACTTGAGATCATTTTAATTCACTGTACAACAGAAACCAAAACTTTAAAACCCTTTCTGGTTTTGGATGCAAATTTATTTCCTTGTGGCTAAAATGGAAATATGAAAAGATATATTAATTGCTCTATGTATAAAGAGTTGGATGATACCTTTTTAATAGATACTGTATTCACATTAGATGTTAAAAGAAGTAGTAATAGAGGTAGAGCCAGGAAATATGTATATACCATTATAAACTTTGGCTGAATTTCTAGAAAATGCTTATCTAGAAAAAAAATCTCCTTTTAAAACTTTATTTTTCTTTTAGGCACTTATCCGACTATATCTGGACAGGGCCACCTTAATTTGGAATGGAAATGTTGTTACTGGGTTGAACGAGCTAAGACATTTCTTCGAAATGTTGCCTTCTAGTCAGTTCCAGGTTAATATGTTAGATTGTCAACCAGTTCATGGTAAGATTATTTTCTTTAAGATGCTTCGTTTATTTTCTTAGTTGAGCAGTGAGTTTTGTAGCAAAGAACTTTTAGTTTTAGAAATATTCACTTATTTGAACAAGCTAAACATAATGAACAATTCATGTGTCCAAATGAATTCCTTTTGGTGCTTATCACTTGAGAGCATCACTTGTAGGTTTTAGTGGATGGTGTGATTATGGTTTAATAAAAATTGTTCAAGTTGGGTTTGATGGCTCACACTTGTAATCCTAACCACGCAAAGACTGGAAGGATTGCATTTGAAGCCAGTTCAGGCCACAAGTTCCCATCTCAACCAATAAAAAGCTGGGTATGGTGGAGGGCGCTTATCATCTCAGCTAAACAGGAAATATAATAAGGTCATGGTCAAGACCTGGGCATAAATGTGACACTTTGTTGAAAAATAACTAAAAATGGAAAGAATGTAGCTCAAGTAAGAACCTATCTAACAAGTGCAAGGGTCTGGGTTCAATCCCCAAATTTTATGTAAGTATGTATGTATTTTTAGAGTCGACCTTAAACTCAAGGCCTGGGTGCTCAGTCCTTGAGCTTATTTACTAAAGGCTACGGCTCTACCACTTCAGCCATGCCTCTACTACTGGCTTTTTGCTAATTAATTGGAGATAAGTTAATTGGGCCTAATTTATCATGATATTCACACAGACATGGAGGATATTCATAGGAGAACGCAAAGGCTCAATAGCTACGTGCATATTATCATATAAAATAATATTTTACAAAATAAATTCCAAGAAATGAAAACAAGAGATTTTTGTTGTTGCTGCTGTTTTTGTTGTATTTTCCTTTGGGGAACATAAGGGGGCCATAGAAAAGATGGGACAAAGGGTGAACAAATGCAGCAGTGATACTCACTAGACACTTTGTGGAAAACGAACTATACAACTTGTGGGTCAGGACGGGAAGGAAAACCTGGGAGAGAACAAGAGAAGGGATGACAAGGTTCAAAAAGAAATGTACTCATGACCTGACATATACTGTAAACCCTCTCTGTATATCACTTCTACAATAACAATAAAATACGTAGTTGGTTGTTGTTGTTTTTAAGTTTCACGGGCATTCCTACCAAACTGGCTTCAAACAGTCTCATGAGTAACTAGGATTACTGGCACAAGCCTCATTCAACCCCCTCCAATTTTGCAAAAAAATAAAAAAGATTGTATGGGACTAAATTTTATTTTTGTTAATTGAAAGGAGAGAAGAATATCTCCAGAAAAAATTGCACCATATCACTATTAATGTTTTATAGTATCTCAAACTTCTTGTTAAAATTTCACAGAAATTTTCCCTTTTATAGAAAGGGATCACTTTTGTAAAGGAAGAATTTGGTTCAGAATTCAGTGAAGTTATAAAATTTAATTCTAGGTGTAGTCCTTAGTATGTAAAGTATATTTTCTGTGGGATTTTTTTTTCTTTTTAGTTCTGGAAAGATAGCTTATGAAACAAAATACGATGGGAGTGAAAGAAGGGGGATATTGTCCAAAAAGAAATGTACTCATCACCTGACTCACATAACTATAACCACTCTGTACATCCCCTTTATATTAACAAAACAACATGAAAAACAAAGAAGTAAAATATATGAATAAGCTTTTAGAAACCTAATGAAATAATAGATGTGTAAGTTATTTTGAAACTTTAGAATATCCCCAAAGCTTTTTGAATGGGAAATAATTTTGATATTTTTGAACTGAATAGTTTTCTGGCTTTGGGTATACATGCTGAGGGTAAAGAATGTGTTAGATAAAAAACAGTATAGCCTAAAATATGTTTATTGAAAATAGAAACTGACCTCTCTTTTTTCTTTTTCTTTGTGGTTAAAGAGCATGCTACACAGTGCCACTCTACAGTTCTTGTTGTGACCAGTGGAACCGTCAAGTTTGATGGGAACAAACAACACTACTTTAACCAGAATTTCCTGCTGACAGCTCAGACCGCTTCTAATAATAACACTGTGTGGAAGATTGCCAGTGATTGCTTCCGTTTTCAGGATTGGTCTAATAGTCACTAAGTAGGGCACAAGTCCATGCTTTATTGAGTTCATTAGTTCCAGTAACAGAAGTTTATATACAAAATAATACATTTCATTAAAAAGCTTTTCCTTGTAAAAGCACTAGAAATATGTGCTACAACTACATTTCTTTAATATTTTTGTATTTCTAGCAGCACCTTTTGACACAGCTGCCAGTTTGGATTGTTGCCCTCAAGAGCTTTAATGCTAGTTTTTTACATGCCTTATATACACATTCCACTGATGACATTCTTACAGTAGTATTAAACATGATCTTGGTACTAACATTGTACTCACTGTGAATCCAGCCTATTTCAAAAATGGAATCTTTTTGTAATAGAATATTAGCACAACATAGATCTCTGGGGAAAGAGTGGATTTTTTTGTTATTAGCTTAATTTTATAGTGAAATGTGTACTTATTTTTGGTTAACACTGGTAAGAGAGTTAATATATAATATACTTTTTATTAAAGATCAGGTCAGTATAGGTTTGCATAACAACTCTGATATATTTGAGTTGCATGTAGAGCCATTTGGTAGTCTTTTTCTTTCAGATTTTCTTTTGTTGACTAGAGGTGTGCAAAATGTTCTCAGTTGATACCTGAGTATTGGGTGTATTTAGTGACTTAAAAGCAAAACTTCTTAAAACCATGTTCTTGGCAGCTCCAAGTATAAATTTAGGTAAATGAGTGGTAGTAGAACTAATAGCTTTAATGAGAGAATGGGTAATGACAAATGTAGAAATCCAAGGTTAAAGCCCAAAGTAAGAGATAGGAGGAGAGGGTTGACCAAATGGTAGAGTTTTGTAATTTGTTTCCTACCTCCTAAAAAATGTGGCCTATTTTTAGGACTTAAACCGCTGTTATTATCCTTGACAAATGGTCATGAATGTCACTTTTGCCCTAAGAATGAACTTTTGAGGTTTTGTACTTTACCTCATACTTGTCACCAAAATACGTCAATTTATGAAAGAATGTGTAGGAGTAAAATGTCAGCAATAAGCCTAACTTTGTGACAGGGTCTAATAGGAAAGTGGGAAACAAAGCCATTCCTATCTCTTTGACACCATAAACTTCTAAGTCTTCCATGTGAACTTTAGGCCAAAATACTCCTATTTATTAGCCACCCATGAAGTGAGTGAATGTCCCCAGTTTTGTACTCTCAACTGTATTATATATTATTTAAATTTAAAATTATTTTATGATTTGTTCTTCCTGTGACATTGGGCAAAAAGATATATTTTGAAAAATATTCCCGTTGTGTGACTACAGTTTGTTAAAGATAAAGAACAATAGATTTTCATGTAAACTTCAAAAGAGCAATTTGTTGTTATATGTCAACTTGTGAAGAGAAATGAAAAAATCTTAACTGGTGTTTGGTTAAACTGTAAAAGCCTTTGTATTTATTAATGTTTTATATCCATTTTAAAATCAGTAATATTCTTTTGCTCCAAACTACACTAATTCTGATATACTATTAAAATTGTAAATTCTAGTACACCTTCTTGTCACACTGAAAAAAATGTAGATATTATACTCAAAATTTTATTCAAAAAAATATTGTTTTGGATTTTTAAAGCCACAGTTTTAGCAGCAACAATCAAAATGCGTACATACTGTCCTTTTCTTTGTGGAGAAGTCTCAAAATCTTCATATAAAGAACTGATGTTAATTCTTGTGAATTATCTTTCTCCAAACACTGTATAACTTGTAAATTATTGTATTTTTGACATGTTCATATATTTTTATAACTTAAAAATAAATTTTGCGATTGCAAGTTTTCTCGCGTATCCTAAGGTGTTTTGATTTTTAAGAGTTCAAAATATACTTATTGTAAATGTCTTTCAACTTACATCATCATATGAAAATGTTGAAAATAAGAGTGGACAACTTAGACTTTATTCTTATTGTAATCCACTGTATTTTTCCTTTTTCCTCCTAAGTATTCATATTGTTAAGATTAACCTGTATGAAGTATACCAGTGAAATTTTGGTGAGTAATTGAAAATCTTAAATCTTGAGAAACTAGGCCCAATGAGGTTCAAGGATAAGCACAGTATTGGGGAAAGAATTCAAATAAAATCCAAGAAGGTACTTAGTTCTTTCACTCTCAAATCAGTGAAATAAAACAAGAAAGAATGTGGAATAAGATACCACATCACCCTCTCCTCCAGTACCTGCTCTGTTCTGTTGCCTAAACCCTTCTAGTCCTGTTCCGCATTCCTTATACTCCAAACTCAGCTAAGACAGACCTCTGCCCCTACTGCGTCTCACTTGCCAGAGATCCAGCCAACTTCTTTCAGAGGAATTCTAGTGATCACAGTGGGATTTGATCACCCAGGACAAAGCTACCACAGGAGCTCTGTACAATGGCTGGAGGCCACCAACAGAGTCCCTAGAAGTGGTGACCTGGGTGTTTCACTGACAAAGCATGTATTCCAGTTGCTGGCCTCCATGTGCCTGTCAATGGGTGGGGGTTGGATGAGATTTCAACAAAACAATCCTGAATAAAACAACAAAGACTATTGCACATGCTGTGCCAGGCCAGAGATTGCCTGAGAGCTTGTGTGCTGTGTGCCAGAAGGTTTCTAAAAGGAATTTATGCAGAGCTTTCTCTAGCACTTTAGTTATGGGGACCCATGTGCCATCTATGTGGCCAGCTTCTTGTTGCAAGGTACATGTGACTTGGTGCAGTTCATGGCCAAGCAGGGCTCCTGCTTTGAAGTTATCTCAAATGCCAGCACCTTTGGTATTGAGAATGTGCTCTGTGCTGGTTGCAGCTATTCTGCTGCATCTTTGGCAACTCATCTGAGCCTGGTGTGGGGAAAGCAGCTCATGTCCCTTCCACAATCACAGCACCAGCAACTGTATGAGCAGGCTCCCAACAATGTCTCTCTTCTACGTGGGTGATGGTGCCAACTTGGCGCTGCCAGCCTTCCATGCCAAAGCTAAGGTGTGCATCTCCCCACCCCATACCCTTCCACCCCTCCTTCTGCACATCCCAGGGGCTCAAGATATGCTGAGCATGACTACCTGCAGTCCAATGGGCGTAAGAGAGACAGGGAAAGAAAATCCAGAAAATGCGAACCTGGTTGTACTATTCCCCTTTGCTTTGCTATATCCTTCCAGAAATTTCTGAAATTTTGTCCATTTGGGGGCTGGCAGTAGGGTCCAGAGTGATCCCTACCTATGTGGTCACCCCAGCTCTGCTGCCTTCCCACTTCCACTGCAATCAGCTTTGGTGTCCTGCGCCCAATGGGGAGTGGTGAGCCTACCTTGGGAAGCAGCAATGTCCTAAAATGTCCTATGCTCCCAACTGGGAGGAGAGAAAAGCATCTGACTAACTTTAGCCTCAAACTCTAACCTCCCTCCCACCCCCTACCAAGTCTCTCCATGAGACCTAGGGTCCCCAAATTGATAGGACCATACCAAACTCCTTGAGGACATGCTCTCCATAGTACGTTCCAGGCCTCCTCCTTCTTTGTGCCAATCCTGGGGCTTGAACTTAGGCCTGAGCACTGTCCCTGAGTTTTTGTGCTCAAAGTTAGCACTCTACCAATTGAGCCATAGCTCTATTTCTGGCTTTTTATTGGTAACCCTTAGATAAGAGACTCACAGACTTTGCTGCCTGGACTTAATATCTAGGATTACAGGTGTGAGCTACTGGTGGCCAGTTCAGGTCTTCTTGATCTAATTTCAGCCAAACCCTATCATGTTGCTCTATTCATGAAACATTTTTTTCCTCCCTGACCCTACCCATCCTGCCAGCATCCTCAAAGGGGTGGGGCTAGGGGGAAAGATCAGTGGGAGAAAGAGGTAAAATATGGCCAACCAGGGACCGCTGAGCCTGTGATTCTGTCTTCTCACATCGTAGCCTGGTCTATATAGGAAGAGATCAGGAACTTTATTATAGTGGTCCTTCCTATTTCCCTTCCTCTTCCATATGGAACAGAAAGCCATGATGTATTAAAAAAGCCAGAGAAATGCAAGCCCCTCTCCTTCCAGTGCTTTTAGTCCTCTAAAGGAGGTGAAGGAGAGTGAGGAAATTTGCTCATGAAAACCTTACCTTTCATGATTCTAATGAAAACTGTAAGGTACTTTAAGTCTTAACAAAATTTCACAAAGCCAAATCAAGAAAAACGTACCCCTTTCTTAAAAGATTTAAAGGCTCCAAACAAAATCCTAACAATGGTAGTTTACACCTGTTATAGCTACTCAGAAGGCTGAGACCTAAAGAACCCCGGTTCAAAGCCTGACTGTAGGCATGGATCAAGTATAGAACACCAGCCTGTGAGAAAGCAAGCCAAGCAAAACAATGATTTCCTGAGTTCAAGCCCCAGTACCAGTAGTTCAAAAATAGGCACACTTAGTTACTGTTATAAAAATGTAAGTTATCACTTCCAGATTACATAAAATACCAATAGAAGTTTCAGTAGAAATTTTTATTCAATTCTATATCTAATTTTAAAACTTACATAGAAAAACAAAATACCAAGAATTTCCTGAAGAAAAATCAGGTCTATATTTGCCTGAACATATATTGAGACTTGCTATAAACTTATAGTAAATAACACAGTATTGTATTAGTGAAGAGACTGAGCATCCATGGGAACAGAATGAGATTCACGAATGAATCTACACAGGTGGAATTGTGATATATAAGAAGTGGCCCTGTAGATTATAAGGGGAGTTCAATAATGGATTCTAAGGTTCCAATTACCCCCTATACACCACTGACAACATAAGGTCCATAGGTATGGAGAACTTAGTGTGAAAAGCAAAAATTATATTTTTAGAAGAAAATATTTGAGAATATCTGGTGAAATAGTAGTAAAAGATTCTTTGATACAAAAGTGCTAATGATAAAAATAGATTGACAGACTAGACTGTATTTATACTGAAAGCATCAGTTTGTCAAAAGACACCATAAAGTAAATGAAAAGGCAATCCATTAAATTTGGAACATATTTACAACACAAACAACCAAAATATTAGTCTTATCAAGTAGTATAAAGAGTTATAATTTTTGGAAAGGAATTATGTGAAAACAGTCATCAATATTAATTTGATAAAAATGGCCCACAAATGACCAGAGAACATATGAAAAGATGGCAAACTTTACTAGCAATCAAGGAAATGCAAAAGTAAGATTACAATGGAATTCTGTGCCTCCATCAGAAAGAATGACACTGCCCCATTTGTTAGGAAATGGAAAGACTTGGAAAAAATTATATTAAGTGAAGTAAACCAGGCCCAAAGAAACATACGTCCCATGATTTCCCTTATTTGCAATAACTAGTATATGTCTAGGACACACAGAAAAGGTCAAAAGCTATGTACATATGACCATATAAGATGATGTTAAGGGAAATGAACCCCAAGACAGGGACACAAGTGTTTTTTTTCTTCATTGCTATTCTTTTTAATATGCTTATAATGCACCATGTGATTCTTTTTTTCTTTTGTATGTCCTTCCCCCACGGTATAAACCCTGTTTTCACTGTATTTGATTCCAGTGTCCTGCATCTTGTATATACATTTTTATAATTTGGGGAGGGGAAGGGATATAACAAAATGCTTAAATAAGGATACAGGTTACCCATTTTAACAATGAGATATACAAGACACTATGTTGAAAATGAACTTTACAATTTGGGGGGAGTAGGGAGGAGTTGTGGAGGCGGGGAGGGAAGGTCTGGTAGCTGGAAAACAAAGAAGGAGGTAACAATGCTTGATAGGAAATGTACTCATTAACCTACTCATGTAACTGCAACCCCTCTGCATTGTATAAGGATACAGGTTGACCCACTGTAACAATGAGATGTACAAGACACTATGTATGCTGAAAATGAACTTTACAATTGGGGGGGTAGAAAGGTGTTGGGGAGGTGGGGTGGAAAGGGATGGTAGGGGAAAAACAAAGGAGGAGGTAACAATGCTCGATAGAAAATGTACTCATTACCCTACTCATATAACTGTAATCTCTCTGTACAGTATTTTTATATATTTTTATTGTAAAAATATTGTACACAGGGGTTACAGTAATGAGTAATCATTACATAATTGTTTTAATATGCATGTGTTACATATGGTTTACATAGTAAACAAACAGATAAAGAGAAAGTGGGAAGTAACAGGGCACCTAGGAGATTAAAATCTGGAGAACTATTCAAGAACAGCCCAGGATGAAAATCCCATGAGACCTTGCCTTCAATTAACCAGCAAAAACCTAGGCTGAGACATTACTCAAATGGTAGAGCAACAACCATGACCAGGCAAGCTTGAGAAAATTCAAAGCCCTGAAGCTAAATACTGGTACTGGAAAAAAATGTGGAGAGTAATATTTCAATGTGCATATACTTGGTTGTTTATTGAAGTACTCAGTTTATTTACAGGTTTATGTGAAAGAAACAATGAATACACAGCCACAAACAGAAATGTTAAAGATTTATGTTATTGATCAGGGTGTTTATCCAAAATGTCAACTGACTAGCTTCAAGTAGAACAAAACACATTATTCTGTCATTATGCATGAAACTTTCTTGAAAACATCTGTATTTTCAAGCCTTTTAAAAGCTGTGTTATATTTATATTTAACATAGAGCTAGGTTATAGATTCAGATAATTGTAATCAGGTTGATACCCACTGGCCATTTAAAGAAGAACATTTGAAAGTCTTAGGGGACAATTTCTTGTGTGAGAATGTTCCTAGCATTGCTTGAGTTGAATATCCATACCTCATCCTTTTCCAGTTGATGTTAACTTGTCCCTGAATCATTATG